CATCTTTGAATGTTTGGTAAAATTCACCTGTGAATTATTGGTGCAGGACTTTTGTTTGTTAGGAGTTTTTTGATTACTGTTTTCATTTTGCTGGTAGTAATCAGTTTGTTCATATTTTCTGTTTCTTCTTGATTTGGTTTTTTAGGAATTGGTCCATTTTTTCTGGATTGTCCAATTTGTTGGCATATAATCATTTTTAATATTTTCTTGTAATCCTTTATATTTTTGTGTTGTTCATTATTGTTTCTCTTATTTTCATTTCTGATTTTATTTATTTGGGTTCTCTCTTTCCTTTTATGAGTCTGGTTAAAGGTTTATCAATCTTGTTTATCTTTTCAAAGAACCAGCTCTTGGTTTCAATAAGCTTTTGTATTGGTTTTTAGACCCTATTTTCTTTATTTCCAATCTGATCTTAATTATTTCACTTCTTCTTAACTCACTTTGAGCTTTGTTTGTTGTTGTTCTTCTAGTTCCTTAGGTGTAAGATTAGATTGTTTATTTGAGATTTTTTTTTTATTTAGGCCTGTATTGGTAGGCCTGTATTTATTTAGGCCTAAGCTTCCCTCTTAGGACTGCCTTTGCTGCATCCCATTGATTTGGTGTCATTGTATTCTCATTTTTATTTGTCTTCAGGTATCTTTTGACTTTCTCCTGATCTCATTGTTAACACTTTCATTGTTTAGTAAAGTGTTATTTAGTCTTTGTGTGCTTGTGTGTTTTTCATTTTTTTTTTTGTTGTTGCACTGATTTCTAATTTCATACCATTGTGGTCAGAGAAGGTGCTTGATAGGATTTCAATCTTCTTAAATTTACTGAGAACTGGTTTGTGGCCTAACATGTGATCTATCCTGGGAAATGTATCACTTTAACTTGAGAAGAATGGGGTGAAGTAATCTAAAAATATTTAAATCCATTTGCTTTAATGAGTCATTTCAGTCTGCTTTTTCTTAATTGATTTTCTGTCTGGAAAACTCATTGATGTCAATGGGGTGTTAAAATCCCTCAGTATGACTGTATTATGGTTGATCTCTTCCTCTATGTCCAAGGATTCGCTGTATGTATTCAGGTGCTTTTGTGTTGGGTGCATAAATGTTTACAAGGGTTATATACTCTTGTTAAATTGATCTCTTTATCACTAAGCAATAAACTTAAAAAATTTCCTCTTTGTGAAAGTGTTTCACATGTTGCTTGCCCCAACTGAAAGATAACCCACTTATGCTGGCCTGGGCAATTGAACATAATATCTGGCAGAATCTACCACGTGGCTCTGTATCAGAATGGGATGGAAATAGCAAGTCAAAGTCATAATTTTGTCAGAGGAATTTTTTACTATGTTTTTGTCTTTGTTCCATAGACATTTAAAATTTCTATATAATATATTTGTACTTAGACATGTAAGGAGACATATTTACTTTATTGAAAAATAAGTTAAGTTTATTTAAAAATGAAGTGTTTTTTTGTATATTAGTTACTCTGGCCAGATCAAGGACAGATTATATAAGAGATTCATCAAGGGAAAAATAAGCTTTGCAAAAGTTATTGAGACTCATTACTCTTCTTAATTTTTTTGAGAAACAAGTTTTTTTCAATTGATTATGCCATTACATTTGTTCTATTCCCCCCTCCATTCCCCTCTACCCTGCACACCCCTCCCCCACCATTCCCCCCCATTTGGTTCATGAACACGTGTCTCAAGTTCTTTAGATTCTGTATTTCACCTACTATTCTTACCCTCCCCCCATCTATTTTCTATCTACTGCCTGTGCTACTTATTTTCTGTACCTTCTCCCCCCCCTCCTTCTCCCACTCCCCTGTTGCTAATCCTCTATGAGATCTTCATTTCTATGGTTCACTCCTGATCTAGCTGTCCTCTTAATTTGCTTTTGTTTTAGGTGTGGTCGTTAATAACTGTGAGTTTGCTGTCCTTTCACTGTTCATCTTTTTTATCTTCTTTTTCTTAGGTAAGTCCCTTTAACATTTCATATAATAAAGGCTTGGTGATGATAAACTCCTTGAATTTGACCTTATCTGAGAAGCACTTTATCTGTCCTTCCATTCTAAATGAAAACTTGGCTGGATAGAGCAATCTTGGTTGTAGGTCTTTGGATTTCATGACTTGGAATACCTCTTTTCAGCCCCTTCTTGCCTGTAAGGTCTCTTTTGAGAAATCCACCGACAGTCTGATGGGAACTCCTTTGTAGGTGACTGTCCCCTTAGCTCTTGCTGCTTCTAGGATTCTCTCCTTCATTTTAATCTTGGCTAATGTAATTATGATGTGCCTTGGTGTATTCCTTCTTGGGTCCAACTTCTTTGGAATTCTCTGAGCTTCCTGGATTTCCTGGAAGTCTATGTCCTTTGCCAGATTGGGGAAATTCTCCTTTATTATTTGTTCAAATAAGGTTTCCACTCATAACTGTTCCTTTTCCCCTTTTGGTATCCCTATAATTTGGATGTTGGAGCATTTAAAGATGTCCTTGAGGTTCGTTCCTAAGCCTCTCCTCATTTTTTTGAATTATTGTTTCTTCATATTTTTCTGTTTGGTCATTTTTTTTCTTCCTTCTGGTCTGCTCCCTTGATTTGAGTCCCAGTTTCTTTTCCATTACTATTGGTTTCCTGTGCATTTCCATTCATTTCAATTAGTTTAGCCTTCATTTGTTCCTCTAATTTGTGACTAAAATCAACCAGTTCTGTGAGCATCCTGATCACCAGTGTTTTGAACCGTGCATCTGGAAGTTTGGCTATTTCTTGGTCGCTTAGATTTATGGGCTCTGGGGCTTTGAGTTCTTCTTGAGCCATGTTTTGGTCTGTTCGTGCCTGTTATGTATGAGGAGTGGAGCCTTAGTTGTTCACCAGGGCAGGGCCACCCAGGTTGCTGGTTTGTGATGCTGTATGTGGGGGCAGGTTCAGAGAGGGAGCAATGGCGGTCCTCTCAGCTTGCCCAGTCTGCCTCACTGCTTGCCCGTTTACCTGAGCGCAAATGTGCGAGCCTGCCGCCCTGCACCTCTGCCGGGGCCTGCGCAATCTGTCTCAATACTAGCCTCTTCACTGGTTTGTCTGCGCGCAAATGCACAACCAACTGCAGCCAGCCAGCCGAACCTCTTCCTTGGGTCTGCTGTAGCTAGCCTGCACCTGGGATCCGCGCCTTAGGCTGCTTGCATGCTGCCCGGGTCGGGGGATCTTTTTTGCCTGACCTGCTCTGCTGCTGGCTTCACCCCTCTCACCGGTTTAGCTGGGTGGTTTGTTGTTTTCGGACTTCGTATTGTTTGATTTTCTGTGTGGTTTGGCTGTGTTTATTGTTGTTAAAACTTTATTATTTTTAGATTTGGTTGTGCGAGGATGCAAAGTGTTTCCACCTATGCCTCCATCTTGGCGGAAGTCCCTCATTACTCTTTTTTTAAAAAGATTTTATTAGTTTACCTTTAAAGAGAGGGTAAGGGAGGGATAAAAAGAGGGAGGGAAGCATCATTATGTGGGAGATACATTGACTGGTTGCCTCTTGCATGCCCCCAACTAGGGACCTGGCCTGCAACCCAGGCATGTGCTCTGAGTGAGAATGGAATTGGTGACCTTTGGTTTGCAGGCTGGCACTTAATCCACCCAGCCCCACCCGCCAGGCTTATTACTCCTAATACATTTCAAGTTCTCTTTTGAAAGCAATAAATATCTTTTTGCATCTAACAAACAAGAATATTTCTTGTTAATTTGCTGACAGCTATTCCCCCTAAATAAAATAAACTTTCAAGGCCACCATGGTGTGTGTGTCTACCTGTCCCAGCTCCTCATCTGCCATTATGTGAGTGGGAAAGTGTTGTCATCAGGAATGTTATTCATTAGGCTTTTCATGTTCTCTTTTAAAAATTATTTGTAATATTCTTTTTATAGACTGATTTGTTAGCAATACATACACATGTGTGAACTGCAGCTAGCCACTGTTAAACCCAGGATATGTAACCCAGGCATAGCCTGTGGAACATGGAAGTCACATGCAGGAATAGGAATAGAGACAGTTCATGACTTTGCTGGAGATGCTCACCCTGGAGGAATTTTAGCTGAATACTTGCATTCTCATGTGTACAAGCAGATGGTGATGTACTGCCAAAAGTCTAACAACAGGCTCTGTGGAAAGCTTCTTAAAGACCCTGAGCTGACTCTTGCCAGCTGGACTGAGCCAGCTTCAATACTTGCTGTCCATAGGATGTAAAAGGTGACCTTCTCTGGAGATGGGAATACCAAAAGGCCATCTCGAGAATATGTATGTGTTAGAGACATGGATCCTGTAGAAAGAATTAGATAGTGATCCAAGCAGGTGTGCTCAGGCAATACCATTCATTCTCCTCTGGTGACAACAGCAGGGACTGCTGACCTAGCTTGGACACAGTCTTAATCCAGGTAGGGAGTACCATAGAGGTCCGCCTTGCAGGGAGGGCTCAGTCATGCCCGTGCTGGACCCTCTGCCTAGAGTTGGGGCTGCAAGTCTGGCTCTGTTTTGTACAAAAGGTGTTTCAGTTCATTAGGTAGTAGTATTCTAAATTGGGGTCACAGCACCCTCACTGCAATACTAGAATGAAATTAATTTACAAAGCATTCACTTACATGTAAAAAGGAAAAAATGACAATTAAAATCAGATTTGTCACTCTTCTGTTCAGTTGTTTGATCTGGTGCCTTTGTAAAAGGGATGGGCAGACCAAGATATGGCCTGCTCCTCTCACCTGGCCAGCATGAGGCAGAGTCTTAGTAAAGCATTAACCATCATGGGTATCTATTGTCATGGGCTAACGGTCCCATTTTGACATGAAGTGTAGAACATGTCCTAGCCAGAACACAACAGTGCGTGTGATGGGCTCAGAAGAGGAGATTTAAGCTACAAAGAGCTACAAAAGAATTTTCCTATGGTTAGCCTGAAGGACCTACTCTGTGAAACTGGGTGGCTTAACTATAGTGAATCAATAGCATTACCATTAGCAAAAGAAAGAGGGCTCATTTTTTGTTGTTGTTGCAGGGTCCATGGACACCTACAGCATGCCAGAAGGGAAAGCCCATGTGGTCCCTATGGGAGAAGCCCCCACCTACGTGAATACCCAGCACTTCTCTCTGCAGGCTGGACCAGCTGCAGGAAGCAGCACAGAGAGCAGCCCCAGGAAGGACCTCTTTGACATGAGTGGGTTTCCATTCACCTTTAGTTTCCTTTTCTTTTGAGGTTGCTTTCTACACTGCTTTTTATTGGAAATCTGTGCAATTACTAATTTTCTATTATCTGGGTTTTGATTAACAGTGATGACTAGCAGAACTTTTCTGGCTTGTGATTGGACATTTTAAGGCGTTGAACTTTGGTTAACCTCTCTTTGCTTTGGGATTACATCCCTCTCTGTTGTCTAGAGACAAAGCAATTTTCATCTGTTTTTTGGCATTTGCTTACCTCTTGAAGAGCTGCACATTTATTGATACAAACAATACACATAAATAAATACACTCATTTATTTATTCACTTAAATATATTAATAGGTTGCTGTGTACCAAGTTCTGTCACAGTTGCTGAGGATGCCAAGGTGAAATGGTATGGGCACTGTCCTCACAGAGCTCTCAGTCTATTGAGCAAGACCAACATAGAACCAAGAAATGGCAGCACACCCCTCTTGTATGCACACACGTGCTTGCCTTCCCTCTCGTCCTCTTATCGTTTGTCTTTCTCTGCAACTACAGATCTCTTCCCCTATTCTACTGAATACCTAACATGTGTCAAATACCATTCTACTCACTAGGAATATACAGGGAAACAAAGCAAAGTCCTTACTGTCACAGAGCTGAAGTACCCACTATGTATTATCAGGTAGTAACCAGTGGTGGCTCTCTGAGCCTCTGCTCCAGTTTTAACGATGTCTCATAACTGCAGTTTAGTAGTTGTATTTGTGGTCAAACAGTTTTACTGTTTAATCTATTCACTTTATCAGTGAGTCCTGGCCCCAGAGCCTGAGGAGAATTAGATAGGCCTGGCATTTGAGATAGGGAAATAAAAAACTGGAGCCAACATCTTCTCATCCATCAATTTCTACTCCTACTCCTCAAATTAAAGAAGAGGAGACAAAAGAACAAAAGGGCCCTGGGAGGCTAGTATCTATGGAAAAGTATGAAAAAATAAAGGTAGCACTCTGTTTATTTTGAACCATTAGAGCTAAATAATGACAGCGGTGATGATGGTATGATGGTGATGATGGTGGGGATAATGATGATCGTGCAGAAAGAGTATAATAAAAATTGTCAACTGCTCCAGGTAATTAGGAGAAAGATAGGGTAAAGAAATGAAATAAAATTGTAATCAATAGTTTTAACTTCTTTTCACTTCAACTATATAAATGATTTAAAAACTGTCAAAATGACATGATTTTGATTTCATTCACCTTACTTCTGCCCATCGTCTACTAACAATAGGTCTTATTTTATAGTACTTGATGAATATTTATAGAGTAGCAACTATGTCCCAGGAATAATGTAGGGCTTCGAGGATATAACTGTACCCAAGAGAATGCTATTCTTGTTTTTGTGGTGCTTGCATTGTACTGGGTTGGCAGTGTGGCCCAAAATTATAATACCACATATTTGTATAGCACTCCACATATTTTTTCCAAGTGCCTTTGTACAATTCTTTATTTGAAAATCAAACACTGAGGTTTTATTAGATGTACCTGCTGACTTATTCGCCTCTGACATTTGTTGATGTTGGAGCAGAAGTCCTACCACTGACCATGCCCAGTAGGGAAAGGCATATTCTGAAGAGCCTGAAGTCAGCTCAACCTCAGCCATGCATGCAAGAGCTTTTTCCACAGGGAAACAAGTGAAGGTCAAGGGGAGGTAAGGCTCCTTGTCTGGGGCAAGTTGCACAGGGGGAATCAATAAACATCAATTTTATTTTCTTTCAAAAATTCACCCAATACAAAGATTTTGAAGTAAATATTTGATGGGTTATGTTTAGCTTTTATACACAATCAAAATCTTGCAACTTGTCTCTTGCTTTGTATATTTCCTTTAGTTTGGCAGGTTTTTATTCAGAAGAGAATGTATTTGTTAAAGAGGCTAGCCAATGTTCAAAAAAAGTTGATGCTGTGTAACATGCACAGCCCCCTGAGACATGCGAAACTGAAGTCATTCTAACCAGCTAGACGAAGGGTGTGCTCAAATCCTTGGCAAAGGCACAGCGCTCAGCTGCCTTGGAAAAGCAAATTTATCAGAAGGATTCATGCCAAGATTTGGGCTGTGCTTTCAAATGCTTGTTTTGATGAGTCTCATTATATTGTCAGCTTGTCATTTGTCTCTAGTTCCTTCTTCTGGTAGAGTTGCCTTTGCATTTCCATCACTCATATTGTACTGTTTATCATTTGCTCTTCCTGGGTCCACCTGATGCTGGCAAATGCTAATGGCAGAACCTTTTGAAGATGCTCTTAAGAACCAGCCCATGGGACCAGTGCTGAGCAAGGCTGCCTCTGTGGAGTGCATCAGCCCTGTCTCACCCAGAGCCCCAGATGCTGCCATGCTAGAAGAGCTGAAGGCTGAGCCTTGGTACCAAGGTGAGATGAGCAGGAAGGAGGCAGAGGGGCTGCTGAAGCGAGATGGAGACTTCCTGGTCAGGAAGAGTACCACCAACCCTGGCTCCTTTGTTCTTACGGGAATGCATGATGGCCAGGCCAAACATCTTCTGCTCGTGGACCCGGAAGGCACGGTGAGCATGGTGACTGCTTTCTATCCTCTTCCCTCAGGTGCATGTGATGTCCTGATAGTCAATCATTTAGAACCATGAACCCCAGGCACAGGGGACTAATGCTTCAGGCCAGAGCTGAGCTAACAGAACTCACAGTCATGGCCCCTGCAATTTATAAACCTTGACAAATCACAAGAGCATAGGCTGAGAGCCTTAGTTCTTCTTTTTTAATTGTTCAATTATAGTTATCCCTCTTTATCTCCCATTACTCTCCCCTGTCCCACCCACTTCCCCTCCCAAGTTCAATCCTCCCTTCACCTCTTGTCCTTGTCCATGGGTCCTTTATACATGTTCCTTTACTTGAATTCTTCTTTTAAATAAACAGAAACTGATCAAGTTTTCCTCCAAAATACATTCATAGTGTACAAGGAGGTACACAAGGCTCCTGAGCTTTTAATACTCCTTTCAAATATTTTAAAACGTTAAATACCAGGGTTTTCATTGTAGGTTGTAAATGGGATGAAACAGTATGTAATAACTCCTCATTAGTGTTGTGTCCACCCACAGAAGTGATGCCTTATGACAGCAAGCTCAACAGCACAGCTGTGTCTCAATGATTCTGTGACTTTAACTAAATATCCTGTCATCTAATCAATAAATATATCTGACTTCACCTTGGCACAATATAAGATTGCTAAGTTTAATACTCATAATTACTTAACCTAACCATTGAGTAAATTCCAGGATTGTTGTTTAAAATCTTTTATCCAGTGAAAATAAAGAAGCAGGTGGAGTTAGCTAAATAGTGATTAAGAACATTGCATTTTTTTATTGCTAGGTGGAGATGAAGACTTAGTCTTCAACTGCATGTAGTAAACATAATTTACTTGTGTGTTTCTGGGGAGGGGCAGTGTTACCTGAGATGATTTGTTACCTCAGGTGTCTAGACTATGTTGGTCACACACCTCAGCTCTCTAGACATCATCTCCACACCTCCTCTTCCCCCACCACCTGGCAACCACCTCTGTGAATGTAAATGTAGAGCTTTCCAATTTGCCTTCTTTCATTGTGTGGATTTTTAAAAAATATATGCACAGTGGGGAAAATATATTTTATGCTTATACTTTTAAAAAATTTGCCAAAATAATATTGTTCTACAAATCCCATTTCATCTTTCTTTTTCCCCTGGGCACGTTTCTGAGGTTTGTCAGTGGTGACTTCTATACAATGAAGAGTACCTTGGGTAGCTGGCCTGGAGTCCCTGTAAATGGTCCACACATAACTTCCTAAACTCTCTGTGAATACCTGAGGCACTGGAGACACTACCAGCCATTGTGCTTGTTCCCTGTACCCAGGACAGTGTCTCTGGGGCACATTTTTAGAGTGGAGAGTTTGTGGTCAGAGGATATACATGCATTTAATTTTACCAGGGGTTGTATTTGCTTCCAGAAGGGCTGGACTACCTACATGAACATCAGTGAGGCACAAGGGGTCTCATCCTCCTCTTCCTTGATGTTACCCCTCTGATGTTGCTCTCCTATTGGAACAAGTAATTAAAGTGGTGTCTCATTGTGTGCCATGCAGTTCTTTGAATATACTTCATCCATAGATTTCTCCTGTGCATCTTTTCTTCATATTTCTATTTTAGTATTCTTTTCTTCATATTTCTGTTTTAGTATTCCTATAGGCCTTTTTGTTAAGTTTCTCAGTCATAGAGTTTCTATATGTACTCTTTCAGTTTTCCACCTATTGGATAATTTTGTCTGAAACATTCATCTTTTTTTCCAGTTTGTGAAGATTCATTTCTTTTTTTCTACATTTTTAATTGTTCAAGTATAGTTGTCTCTATTTTCTCTCTACCTCCCCCTCCCTGCAGCCCAGCCATCATCACTTCCAACCCTTGATCCTACCTCACTTTGGTTTTCATCAAATAGAAGTATTTCTTTGGAGTGTAGCCAAATCCATTAATTTTTCCCATTACAATTTATGTTTTGAATTTTAAAAAATTTTGTCACCTGCAAATCACAGGTATACTATATTCTTCTATATTTTCTCCTATGAGCGTCATAGTTTTATCTTTCACATTTGCAACTGTGGTTACTTTTGAAGGTAATTTAATATAGGGACCCAACATTAAGAAAAATCTCCATGTAGTGATCTAACTTTTTATCACTATTTACCAAGCAATTCATCTTTTTCTGTAGTACTGTTGCTCTTCCTATTACATATTAAGTTCCCTTTCCCTGTGTCATGGGTCTGTTTCTGCACTGTCAGTTCTGTTCTATTAATCTCATAGTTCATTATTCCTTGAACAAATACCATACTGTGTTAGTCATTATGGCTTTGAAACTGCCTTAATCTCTGGTAATATAAATACTTCATCTTGATTCTTCTTGTTGTAAGTTGTGGTATGTATTTTCCAACACTTATTATTTTTTGTTCTGATTTTAGATTTACTTTATCAGGTAAATGAAAGAGAAAGAGAGAGAACAGGTTGGGGTTTTGATAGGATATGTAGATTAATTTGGGAGGAGGTTGCAATGGGCAATGTTGTAGGAGGACCTTTCTCTCACCTCCTCTCAGAACAAAACTGGAAATAAAACTAAATGGAGGAACAGTCATCCAGAGTTACAAACTGAAGACTACTGAAGAGGAGGGGCAGAAACCACCTCAAGACAGGCAGGAAGAGTGAGGATGGCCCCAATCCAACAGGCAGCAGGCTAAGGGTACAAAGAGATAATGTAGCTATGAGAGCTTTCCCTGAAAGGACTGAAGCCTGAACCCCAGACCAGGCTCCTCAGCACAGAGTACCAGAGCCGAGATCATCCACCCGTGTAGAATTCAGTGGTGAAAGGCGACAGGGTGTCTATCTGCTGGGGAAAAATGGAGCCCTGTGGAGACAAAGCAATATTTTTTTAAAGGATCCAAAGCGCAAATTTCTAATTGGCAGCCACTTACCCTGGGCTCTGGGGAAGGGAGGGCACTGTGGACTAGAGTCGTCTGAGAGTTTAGAGTAGGAGGCATTAGCGAAAAATGTGGGGGAGCAGCTGCTGGGATCCTTGTGTGGGGTCATCCCCCTGTATTGCAGTAGCCATTTTTCTTGAGAAGAGCAAGCCCCTCCCAGGGGAATAAACTTGTGGAAAAATAATTACCCCATCCTCTATAATCCCACTCATCACACCATGTGGAATCTTTCTTTCCCCACCCTGCATCTTTTTTTCTACCATCCTGCATCTTATTCCCTGCTGAGGAGATAGCAACACAGGCAGACTCAGGGTGTATCAGAGACTGGATTTGGGGCATGACCATTTCTTACAGTTTCCTGAGAACTGGACTGGTGCTTCTCCCTCACAGGAGAGTGGGTAGAAATACCTGATAGAAACACACCCCTGATTTCTGGCAGACCCAAACTCTGGACTCCAGAGTCCTACCTGTTTGCCTACTAAGGGCTCTACCCTGCCAAATTCAGGGAAATAATCCAGGATATACTGCGATATGACACTCTGGGGCAGTGGAACACACCCACCATCTTCCTTGAAGTCTAAACAGCACCCTGTCCCCTTATTGAAGATTCAGGGGTCCCATCCTCCCAATTTTGCCAGAAGTCCTTTCAGCAAACAGCTCTTTCAGTGACTAAATCTAACAGCCAGGCAAGGCTAGAGGCAGATCTTGTTTGTTGCCTTAGGATGTTTGCTGACCCACCTCTGGGCTTTGTGCCTTGGGGCATAGCTTGGCCCCTTTCATGTGCAGCCAAGCCTGGTGGAGGCAGCCACAAGCTGTGGATCACTTGCAACTTTGACCAGACTTCTGGGGACCAGATGTGGACAGCATCTGAAATTGGCTTACACCAGCTTCAGACAATGTTGGAGGATATCCAGAGGGAGATTCCAGAAGGCAGGCACTAAAGTCTACTGACATGAATTCCATTTTGTTCTTTTTCACTATTTTTTAAATTTTTTTCTTCTCTTTACAATTTTCTCTTTACTTTTTCTTTCACATCTCATATTTTACTCTTTTCTCTTCATACTCTACTTTTTCTTTTCTTATTTTTTATTCTTCCCCTTTCTCTGGTCTTTTTTTTTTTTTTTGCAGGGGAGGCGGGTTCTCTTTCTATTGCTTATTCTTATCATTTTTCTTCCTTCTTTCCTCTCCTAATCTTTTTTCTTTCTTTTTTTTAGCATTTGATTTTTATTGTATTTTTCTATTACTATTTAGCCCCCTTATACCCCACAGCCCCCTGCAATCACCACACTGTTGACCATGTCTGTGAGTACTTTTTCCTTTTTGCCTAATCCCTCCACACCTTAAACTCCACATCCTTAGCTGTGGAGATAGCATCCTGCTTGCTATCTATGAGTCTGTCTCTATTTTGCTAGTTAGTTCACTTTGTTTATTACATTCCACATGTGAGGGAAATCACATGGAATTTTTGTGATTGGCTTATTTCGCTTAATACGATGTTCTCCAGGTTGATCCATACTGTTGCAAAGGGTAACATTCCTTTCTTTTTGTGTGGCTGATTGGTACTCCATTGTGTAAATGTGCCATAGTTGTTTTATCCACTCATCTACTGATGAACATTTAGACTGTTTCCATGTCTTGGCAATTGTAAATAATGCTGCAATGAACATAGGGGTACTTATATTCTTTCAAATTACTGTTTTAGGTTCCTTTGTATATATTCCTAGAAGTGGAATCACTGGGTCAAAAAGCAGATCCATTTTTAATTTGTTAAGGAAACTCTATACTACTTTCCACAGTGGCTGCACCAATCTGCATTCTAACCAACATTGCAAAAGGATTCTCCTTCCTCAACATCCTTGCCAGCACTGGTTTGTTGATTTATTAAGGATGGCCATTCTGAAAGATGTGAGATGATATCTCATTGTGGTTTTAATTTGCATCTTTATGATTAAGATGTTGAGCAACTTTTCATAGGTCTATTGGACATCTGTATGTCCTCTTTGGAGAAGTGTCTGTTAAGGTCATTTGCCCAGTTTATAATTGGGTTTATGTATTTT